GTTCACTCCGGAATGGGCGAGGATGTTATTTATTTATTTATTTATTTATTTATTTATTTATTTATTTATTTATTTATTTATTTATTTATTTATTTATTTATTCATTCATTCATTCATTCATTCATTCATTCATTCATTCATTCATTTATCTATTTACATACATACTGTTATTATATATATACTGTTTTTATATGCTCATTTTCCTGATTCTGCTTGTGTATTCATATCTATATCTATATCTATATCTATATCTATATCTATATCTATATCTATATCTATATCTATCTATCTATCTATCTATCTATCTATCTATCTATCTATCTATCTATCTATCTATCTATCTATCTATCTATCTATCTATCTATCTATCTATCTATCTATCTATCTATCTATCTATAGGAAGCTACCCAGAGTAGTGGCTTGTCCACTCAATGGGCAGGGTATAATGCCTAAACACATTTTAAAAATAAATAAATAAATAACATCCTCACTCATTTTGGAGTGAATATATCATGAATACACAAGCAGAATTGGAAAAATGAACATATAAAAACCAACCCCCTCATAATGGGAGGGCATGGGGGGGTGTTGAAGGAGGCAGCTTCTTTGCGACTTCAGAGTTTAGGAAACGACAAGAGGCCTATTCCATGGTGCATCATAGCAAGCTTGTTGATTTTAGTGAGAGTTAAGCTTCTACTTAAGAATCACCCAAACTTTAAAGTCCAGGGCTTTATCCACTCTCCTCCTTGGCCCTTCTGTACAGCGGAGATGTCCTGCAATCTGTGGCATCGTGGTTCACACAGCCGATTGCCCATAAGGATTCTGACAACACAACAGCTTTCAAAAACGCAACAAAGCAGCACAAGGTCATATCTCCACGGACCTCAGATTGTGCTAGTCCGTCTTGGCTATGGCTTGCATCTAGGAAATCTGGTTAGTGCTTGGGGTTGGTTTGGGCAAAAGGACATTTCATGGGACAGCTTTTATGGGGTCTTTCTACTGGAGCTTTGTCATGCTTTGGTATTATCTGTTTCTCTGCATCTAGAGAGGTGAATGGAAGGAGGAGGGCTGACTAGTATCTCAGCTGCCAATCTTGGGATTTGAAGTATTTAACTTTAAATTTCAGAGCATTTAAAGTGCAAGCAGACAGGGTGCATTAATTGCTGGTAAGACCCATCTTCCATTATGTCTTGAACTTCTAGCCACCAGAATTACTTGAGAGCTATAATGCAATTATTTTTTCTTGTCTTACTACGAAGCTTTGGCAGCCATTCCAACATTTGCACTGGATCTGGATGCACAGATGGTACCAACGCAGTACGCCATCTTACACGCGCCATATGTCCTTCGTGAGGCATGGATGAGGAGCTTCTCTTCGTTAAAACATACCCAGCCTGTTTGTGGATACTGACATATACACAACATAACACAGCCGTTCCACGTGCACGACTGCACTGACCCATATTACCTGCACACCAATTTCATGCCATTCATGCGCAATGCGTCGCTACACTGCAAATGGCAAGAAAAATACTATTTCAGCCCCCGCATCAAAGCACAGAGGGCTTCTTTCTCTGGTTTTTATTTTGGCTCCCTCCACATGCGTTAACCTCCTCACCTGAGATTCCTTGCTCATTTGTTCTGCTGGAAGCTTCAGTACAAACGTCCCCACCGGTCCTGCTGAATCTGCTGGCTACGAGCCCCTTTCCTCCCTAGTGTAGTCTGTTCCAAATCTGTCCCTTCCGTGGTTTGTCATGTCCTCTCTCCACCCTGACACCTGAGAGGATCTGTCGAATCTGTCAAGGCATTGTGTGAGATGGCAGCTACTCTTCAGATGGCTCTGTGGATTAGGGAAAACATAATGAGGCCCAGGAGCAAGCAGGCGGGGGGGGGAGAAATGGTAGCAACTGGAGGACAATCACTTTTTGGAGTTGGTTTCATCACAGGAAATACTTGATTACTGATTGTTGGCGTGAATTTCATGGGGCAGCTTCAAAGAGGGTGGACGGATGTAAGTGAAAGTAGAGGATCATCCATTGCAAAAGACATTTTGGGTACAGTTTCCAATGGCAAGGAAATATATAAGTGAAATATCTGTAACCTCAGAAATACTCTTCCTGGATCCAATTGAAGGTGTGGTTAGAAAATGAGAAAGGAGTGTGACAAACCGTACTCTGACACACAGAAGTACCCTGTCTGACACACAGACTCCCACAACAGCTTCTTCTTCCCAGCTGCTGCTTCGTCACAACCCAGTGTCTCCCACAGTGTCTCCTAGCATCTCCACACACGCTTCACATATTTATACAGTACAGCCCCTCCTCCTGATGTCCCGCCTTCCACTCCCCATAGGATGGAACTTTCCCTCCAAACCCATGACAGACAGGTAACATCAGTGCTGTATGTAACAAGGAGCATGTCTGATTGCACCAGAAAGGGTCGCTTTGCTATGAACAATCTCCCTTAAAGCCATCCTTCCGTCCACTGGGCCATTGTTTCAGCCCGGGACCCCAAACTAGTAGCGCTATAGCTTCATTGAAAAGTTCCAGCTTGGGCATGGATTGGGGTCGACCTGGAGCACTTTCCCCTGTATGTCATGTGATGAATTGCACCACAAGCAGTCTAAAACACAATCTATTTCCCCATGTGATCATTAATTACCTCCTGACGTGGTGGCGCTGTGGGCTAAACCGCAGAAGCCTGTGCTGCAGGGTCAGAAGACCAAGCAGTCGTAAGATCGAATCCACGCGACGGAGTGAGCGCCCGTTGCTTGTCCCAGCTCCCGCCAACCTAGCGGTTCGAAAGCATGCAAATGCGAGTAGATAAATAGGTACCATCTCGGTGGGAAGGTAAACAGCGTTCCGTGTCTAAATCACACTGGCCATGTGACCACGGAAAGATTGTCTTCGGACAAACGCTGGCTCTATGGCTTGAAGAGCGGGATGAGTGCCGCCCCCTAGAGTCGGACACGACTGGACAAAAAAAAATTGTCAAGGGGAGCCTTTACCGAATTGATGTAGTCAGTCTCCATAGTGCAAACACATGGACTCACAGAGAAGTTCCTGAGTAAGATCTGTCTTGGTCTGTGTGATTAGCTTGGACTGCATGGTTAGCTGGACCCAGTTTGGATCCAGGAAGGATACTTTCTAGGCTATAAATATTTTACCTATATATTTCTTTCCTGTAGGAAATTATACCCCAAATGCCTCACGATAAATGTTAACTTACTCAAATGTGCACATTGTACGTGCATAATAATCATTAATTTTGTCTTAAGTTGAGCCTTTTCAGGATTTTCTAGGTAGAGAATACAGATAAGTGCTTCCCCTTTCTCTTCCTCTAGGGGGCGCCCTGGGACTGTGCAGCTTGCCCAAGGCTACCCAGGCTGGCTCTTCTCCCAGGAGGCACAAGTGGGGAATCAAACTCCAAACCTCTGGTTCTGCAGCCAGATATCTCAGCAGTTGTATGTGCATTGGGGAGAAAATTTGTCACCAAACATATTAGCAAAAAGAAACCAGCCGTTCAGTAAACACAAGATTAGCGTAATGAAGAAATTGCAAGTATCAGGCAAAACCAAAATTAACATGCTGATTCGAATAATAAAGAAAATATGCATTAATACTGATATTGCTGTGTTCCAAGTAGTCAGCACAGCTGACTGGATGTAATGTTGCTCAGAGAAAGCAAGGACTCAACGCTTGAAAAAGTTACAGTGGGGTCTCTACTTAAGAACTTAATCCGTATTGGAAGGTGGTTCTCAAGTTGAAAAGTTCTTATGTTGAATCTGCATTTCCCATAGGAATGCATTGAAAACCATTTAATCCGTATCTGCTCTTTTCCGTCCATAGAAACTACAGTGGAACCTCTACTTAAGAACTTAATCCGTTTTGGAATGGTGTTCTTAAGTTGAAACGTTCTTAAGTTGAAGCAAAATTTCCCATAGGAATGGACTGAAAACCAATTAATCCATTCTGGCTGTTTTTTTGTTATGTAGAGGTGCGTTCGTACATTGAAGCATTCGTTCCCATAGGAACTAATGCAAAGCTGGTTAATACGTACTCTACCACTAGGGGGAGAATTATTTTTAACCTAAGATGACCTAAGGTTAAAAAAAGAGCAGGAAAGGTTTTTTTTCCTGTTCTTATCTTGGATTTCTGTTCTCAAGTAGAAGCAAAATTTAGCAAATGGAGCTGTTCTTAAGTTGGATTGTTCTTAAGTAGGGACGTTCTTAAGTAGAGACCCCACTGTACTTTCTTGGAAGGCAACGCTAAGAGCCCTGTTGCCTTCTTGCCCAGTGGCCGTGCTATCTGCAGAATTGGAGGGGGCAGACTTGTAACAGTATGGATTTTTGTTTAGGTTCTGTTTCTTCACTATCCAGTGTTGGTGACAAAGAGAGATCTCTTGTGATACTCTGAACTCCCTTCTCTAGGAAGCTTATTTGTTTCAAGGATTTTTATTTCGTTTTCCAGACAATACGGGGCTCCCACAAAAGGTTACAGAGAGCAGTGCCTGCCCTCAGACTTATAGTTTAAAACACAAAGTGGGAGGAGGGGAAAGCAAATGCAGGCATTCATTTTGGGTTATTTTAAACTCCCTAGCTTCTTATAGAGCTTTCTGAGAGAAGAGCCAGCCTGGGTGGCTTTGGGCCAGCTGCACATTCCCAGGGCGCCCCCGGAGGAAGGGAAGGGTAATGCACTTCTGAGTATTTTGTACTTGGGAAACCCTTGAAAAAGGTTGCCATGTCAATTTTGACTTGACAGCATATGAAAAAACAACAACAATCTTCTTAGAAGAACCAGTTGGAGTGCCTACAGTTCAAAGATGGGAGGAGATAAAAGCAGCCAATGTCTCAGCCAGAGATGAAAGCTGCCTTGCTTTCTTTCCCTTTCTCTACGGCAGCCTAGTTAAAATGGCTGCCCCTGTTTTGATTCCTCCAAAGTTGGACCCTGCTTGATCTGTTCCTCCGCCCTCTTCTCATTTGTCATCTCTTCAACTCACAGGAGCCGAACCGGCCGAATCATGGAGTTGCTGTCCACCCCGCATAGCATCGAGATCAACAACATCACCTGTGACTCATTCCGGATCTCCTGGGTGATGGACGTGGGGGACTTGGACAGAGTGACCCATTACTTCATCGACCTGAACAAGAAAGAGAACAAGAACTCCAATAAATTCAAACACCGGGTGAGTCACCCTAGTGATGCACAATGGCATAGTGGGAGGAGATGTAGCTCCTTCTGCCTACCACCACTAAGAGGTCCTGTTTTTTCCCCAGGTGACATTATCCTTAGTCCGCTTGCCTGTCCTGTTGACATGGAGTGAAGGGATTCAACCCATTAAGCTGAAGGAGGCTTCATTCCTTCATGGCACAGCCGTTCCTTTTGTTATTTTAGCAGTAACCAATGGGTTATTCTTTTCTAGGAAGTCCTCTCCAATTATTGTCCATGCGAACCGAGGGTGATAGGAGGAGTTGCACACCAACAGTTCAGAAGGGTTCAGCCTAGGGGCAGTGACTTAAAGTGTATTAGCAATTTGTTTATAGCAGTGGTTCCCAACCTTGGGTCCCCAAAGGTCCTTGGGCTAAAACTCCCAAAGCTTTCACCATTAGCTGTGCTGGTCAGGATTTCTGGGAGTTGTAGTACAAGAACATCTAGGGACCCAAATTTGGGAACCATTGTTTTATAGGAACACAGAGAACTGTAGTTCCATGAGGAGGAACCAGGGATGTTTAAAGCACAATTCTTAGCATTCTCACCAAACTACAGCACCTAGATTTTTTGGGGTGAAATTTTAACCCTGCAGAACCAACGCGGGTTGATAGAACAGACTGTCTCTCCTTTGTAAAAAAAAATCAAATAAAATCAGAAAAATAGTAGTAATTCACCATAGGTAGGAATAAGACAAACATGTCTTTTTCAAAGAGGTCATCAAAGGGTGTGTGTGTGTGTTTGTGTGGGGGAAATCTTGGTATTATATCCACTAAACCTTTGGGATCTGGGAAATTTCAATTTCAAGCCTAGGTTCCAAAGTGACTGGTTTTTAAACAGTCAAATCTCATGGTGCTTGGAAAGAGAAATCATTCTGTCCTCCATGAAAAATTTTAGACCGAAAGTTTAAGAGTACTTTTAGATCAAAATACAGCTTTAAAGTACTTCTAGTTCATAGCATTTATAATCTAGTCCAGACTTAAACGATAACGACATCTATTACGCATGAACCTGCCGTGAGGGTCACATCTCAAACAAGCTGACTTTGAGAGAAATGGTCACCAGACTAACAAAGCATCCTTGGAAATTTAGGGTTTCTTTCTGTTTTGTTTGTTTGTTTGTTTAAAGGAGGAGGAGGGGAAAGGACTGAGTAGGTGTAGAAGGAATTTCAAAATGTTTTTCCCCTGCAACGAGGAAAGAGTGTGAGAAAAGAAAAAAAAAAGCCACTTAGCAGAGGCAGGACAATCATGAGATTGTCCCATCTGAAACGGAGCCACTAATATGGATGCTGCTTAACAGGATTGGTTGCTATGGCAGTGCATTCAGTGTTTAACTTTTTTTAAAAAAATCTCCTCCGTTCAGAAGGTGTTTTTCTTCTTTCCCGTTTTGGCCTGTCTCCTGGCTCTTCAGCGTTTGCCGTTGCCACAGAAACAGTGCTGCAGTACAGAGGGGTGTCAGTGCGGCTGTGGAGGTGGCAAAGGCAAGATTGATTTATTTATTTTACACAAGCACCCTCCTCGCTTGTGTGGTTGTTTTAACCTCTCCCCAAAAAAGGGAAAGATGACCTTAGCCTCCGTTTAGACCTAATTTTTCCTGAGGCACCAAGGTTGTGACTGGATTGCAACACTCCAGACCACAGCGTGACGGAGAAAGCTAGACTCGAACTCTTTTGGTTGTTGTGGGTTTTTCGGGCTCTTTAGCTATGTTCTGAAGGTTGTTTTTCCTAATGTTTCATCAGTCTCTGTGGCCAACATCTTCAGAGGACAGGAGTCGGAGCTCTGTCTATGCTCTGGTGCAGTTTGTGGGATAGTTGAGTATTTATAGCTGTGGGATCAGCTTTCGCCCTTTTCAGGAGATGGGTGATTGTGGTGATCAGCGTGTTTTTTGTTGTGGGTGTATTGTTGTGATAAGGGGGAGAGATTATCTGTCACTGTGATGGATGGGTTTCATTAGCTGGTAGTTTGTGTGCAATGATCACTAGTCCTTGTAGCTGGATAGAGTCCATTGACCTTTTGCAGGCTGCATTTTTCAGTGCGGGGAGCCAGGCTTTGCTGAGTTTTAAACTTTCTTCTTTTTTGGTTACGTTCTCCTGGTGTTTGTGGATTTCTATGGCTTCCCTGTGCAGTCTAACATAATGATTGCTGGTGTTGTTCAGTACTTCAGTATTTTGAAATAGAATTTCATGTCCAGCTTGTTTTAGGGCATGTTCAGCTACTGCTGATTTTCCCAGTTGTTTTAGTCTGCAATGTCTCTCATGTTCTTTGATTCTGGTGTGGATGCTCCATTTTGTGGTTCCAATATATACCTGGCCACAATTGCAAGGTATCCGGTATACTCCTGCAGCGGTGAGGGGGTATCTTTTGTCCTTTGCTGACAGTAACATTTGTTGTATTTTTGTGGTGGGCTTGAATACTGTTTGTAGGTTGTGTTTTTTCCAAAGTTTCCCCATGTAGTCCGTGACCCCTTTGATGTATGGCAGAAGGACTTTATTTGTGGGTGGCTGTTTTTCCTCTTTGGTTTGGTGTTGTTTTCTTGGTGGCTCTTGTGATTTCATTTTTTGGAGTAGCCATTTGCCTGTAGGGCCCAATTCAGATGGTTGAATTCAGTGCTGAGAAATTGAGCTTCACAGTTCCGATTTGCACAGTCTACCAGTGTTTTGATTATGCCTCTTTTTTGCTGTGGGTGGTGGTTGGAGTTTTTGTGTAGGTACCGGTCTGTGTGGGTGGGTTTTCTGTAGATCTTGTGTCCCAACATGAGGCCAGTTTTGTGTGTGACTTCTCTTAGATGTCAATAGTGATTCTCCTCCTTTGGCTTTTTAGATTTTTACACGTCAGCGCCCTGAATCCTTGCTTCTCAGCCATATTGGCTCAGGTTTGAGACTGGAGTCCAAAAGCAAAACAAAACAAAACTGAAGGATCTAAAGAAACAAAACAAAACAAAACAAAACTGAAGGATCTAAAAATTGAAAACTACTGTCTTAGATCACAAGAATCACTTTGAAACCTGAGTTTTAAAAACAGAAACAACTGTATTGGTTGTTTTGAGAGCAAAACCAATGCAGGGAAGAAAACAGGAGGCAAACCAGTGCCGTTACAACATTTCCATAATTTGGAAAATAGATGACTTTACTCATCCATAATTAATGGCAGCAATAAATACTGCAGCATCCCACAGTAATGAAATACAGTTTTTAACGAAGGCAATAGTCCTCTGCGCTTTTAATTTCCTACAGCACTCTCTGTCTGTGGCTGTCATCCAAAAATAGGTGCACCTTTTTGTGACAACAGATCTTTGGTGCCATAAACAAGGCATTGACATAGAGGATGGGATTTTGCTACATTTTTTTTAAAAAAGTTCTTTTCTATCACGTAAAAAATGAGCATGTGTTTTTAAAGGAAGGGTGCAATGCCTAGTCAGTGAACGTGCAATAGGAATCTAATAAATAACTTTCCATATCTTAAAAAGATGTCACCAATTAATCAGACAGCAGCTTCTTAGAATAGTGGTAAATTTTAATGCAGGTACATCTCAGCTTAAGGGGATTTCTCCCCTCAGATGCTGGAAAGGATGGTTTGTTTGAGATGACAACTACTGTAATACATACACATCACCTGAAATGCAAGAAAATAATCTGTTTCTACATAATCATTACTTTATTGATATACAAATGTATGGAGATTTGATACATTAAGCCATGTACAGTCAGCAGAGCTGTAAGGAAGGAGAGGCAAGTGAGAAGTTTGGGTGTGGAAAGATGAGGGGTGTAGGAAAAGGTTTCAAATATGAATCCCACGCACACCCTGCTATTAGGAAAAGGGCCCATTTCTATAGCCCAGTTTGGTTGTTCCTACATAGGTAACCTCACCATCCTTAGAGGGCAATGCCTGATTTTGCCTTCTCTGTTTTCAACAGATGGAAATGACTGGTTCTCAGGAGAAACGAAAGTATAGGGCATAATTTTATAGTCTTGCCTCAGGCACAGCATTAGTTCGTTATGGCTCTGACAGTTGAGCTTGTGTCCTCAGCATATAATTGAACTCAGGTGGCGGTGGTGCCTCGTTTGGACCAGTTTTGCAAAATTCCATGTTGTTAAGCGATTAAGATTTTTATGCAGTGCCATCTTCCTCAACTGAGTCCCTTCCAGGCGTCTTGGAATGCAACTCCCATGATCCCCGATGAGCTTGGATCAGTGGGAAGTGTAATCCAGCGGATTTGGAAGGCACCATGCTCATCAACGACACTCAAGGAATGACCAAAGGTCTCTCATGTGCCCATGAGATTTTGAGTACTCACCTGCTTGAGTTGCGTGCTATTGTGTTGTATTTTTTTTAAAAAAAGAAAGCTCCATTCTGCAGAGTTAAAAGAAGCTACTGCCATCCATGTGCTGAGCAATTACCCACACAATGCATTCTGATACTCTTTAAGAACGTTCGCTCTGGTTGAAAGCATTCTTAGGGGTCCTTCAAGTTTGACACAAATGCCTCTGAAGAAGTTCTACAGAGCAAGGCAGAGACTCAGGAAGGAAAGATCTTTCAAGCAGAGCATCAGTTCCAATTGACTTTTCTGCAATCTCTGAGTTCGTTTATCTGAAACATTCCTGTCCAGCCTTTCTGCCCCGAAGGGGTGAGACAACAGACTGTGTGGGCAATAAGAAAGTATGCCTGGGCATTAATGATCCTGCTGCTAATGCTCAGAATTTAGTTTGGAAAGAAGTTGATGCCAAGGCCAGGTGGCAATCCCATATCCATCTTGGGCCAGCAAGGTTAGATCCTTCTTGCACCTGAGTCCTTCTGGAATCCCTTTGGTTCTGTAACCAGTTTGATTCCTGACTTTTGCTGAGCTGTTTTCTCTGGGCAGGATGTCCCTACCAAGCTGGTAGCGAAGGCGGTGGCCTTACCCATGACCGTGAGGGGCCACTGGTTCCTGAGTCCCCGGACGGAGTACAGTGTGGCCGTGCAAACAGCAGTGAAGCAGAGCGATGGGGAGTACCTTGTGTCTGGATGGAGCGAGACGGTCGAATTCTGTACCGGGGGTGAGTATTCAGTAGAAATCCTGGAGGATGGGCATCCTTTAGAGCAGTGGTCCCCAACCTTGGGCCTCCAGATGTTCTTGGACTTCAACTCCCAGAAGCCTTCACCACCACCTGTGCTGGCCAGGATTTCTGGGAGCTGAAGTCCAAGAACACCTGGGGGCCCAAGGTTGGAGACCACTGCTTTAGGGAGTCAAGGTGTATGGTGTGATGGATTCTGGGCTTTGCCGAGCGCAGCTGTGTAGGAAACAACAAGGGTCTGGCTTTTGGGGCACCATCCAAAGTGAGGTTCTCTATTGAAAAAACACAGCAGTTGCTTGGATTCCTTGCCAGAAGGAAGTTATCAGCATTTGGCTGTTTCAAGGGTTCAAGACGTCGCCTTGAATTCTTGAGATTTATTTTCTTTCAGCGAAGTCCCTCCCCTCTTATGAATGAAGAGAGAACTGATAGGAGCAAAGGCAGATCAACAGGGATCTACTCTGGCAATACTTTCTGAGCTTTGTGTGTGCCAAGCTCTATCAGACAAAAGCCCAGACCAGGAAGGGGAAACTTCCATCTCTGGGTCAAATCCAGCCTTCCATCTCCAGAATCCGGCCCTCCGGGGTTCCCTGAAAGGCCACGTCCCTTGCTCCAAGATAAATGTCATCCGGTGGTTTCCCACTTTTTGCCTTTTCCCCCCCTTTCATACTAAGCCTGCCTCTCCTCAGACCTCGCTAAAGACCGTCGGTGCTAAAATATGCTAAAATAGTTCTGCTCCCACGTTTTCGCCTTTAACCGCACCCTGCGATGTATTTTAAATCTAGCCCTCGGGTGGAAAGAGGTTACCTTCCCTTGCCTTTGGCCTTCCTTTTTTAAAAAAACCTATTGAAAATTAAATGCCATTGTATGACTAATTTATTGCCTGAATATGTTATTATCTGAATATTCAATTCTGTGTCAAATATATTTGGCTACCAGGGTTATATTCTGGCCACTCGGCAGGGATTTGCCACCATCGCCACTAAAAACATCTGGTTATAACTCTGAAGTGGCTCAAGAAGGCTCTTCCACGTGAAGCTTCTTGGCTGGTTTGCATCCTCCCCCCTCTTCTCAGATAATTGTACCCTGACAAGACCAAGAGCTTAATGGTGAACATGGTCACAGCGAGGACCATCTCTCCACTCCTCAGAATGGGGCTGGAGCAATTACTTTCATAGTTCTCCCCTGTAACCAGAGATGCTTCCAAGCAAGAGGTGGTATTTTTGTTGCTGTTATATGTCAACAAGTCACCTCTGACTTACACTAGCCCTGTGTCTGGGCTATCTCCAAAAGGTCCTCTCCTCAACGGCCCTGCTCAGCTCTTGCAAATTCACGCCTGTAGCTTCTTTTAAGAAGTCAATCCATCTTATATTTGGTCCTCCTCTTTTCCTGCTGGCTTCGACCTTTCCCAGTGCGATCGTCTTTTCCGGAGAATCCTGCCTTATAGCAATGTGCCTGAAGCAGGATAGCCTCAGTTTCAACTTTTTTT